TAATGACTTCATATTAGGTAATTCTTAGATACAACACCAAAAGAATATATTTTTTCAACTGATAAATTGGACCTCGGCAAAATTAAAAACTTCTGCTCTGCAAAAATAGACTTTGTTAAGAAAATAAAAAGACAAGCTATAGACAATGAAAAGATATTTGTTAAACATGTCTGGACTCATGTCCAGAAAATGAAAAATTATATCTCAAAACTCAATGAAAATGAAACAAAGATGCTAAACATTATTATTTATTAAGGAATTGCAAATTAAAACCACAATGATAAAAGTATACCTATTAGAATATCTGAAAATTTTTAAAAGTCTGGCAATACTAAGTGCTGACAAGGATATGGAAACTATAACCCTTGTACATTGCTAGTGGGAATGCAAAATGGTAGAGCCACTTTGGAAAACAGTTTGCCATTTTATTATAATACACCATATTACCCAGCAATCCCACTCCTATTTACCCAAGTGAAGTGAAAATCTATGTTCACATAAAAACCTGTACACAAATACTCAGAGTGAATTATTCATTATTACCCCAAACTGGAAACAGCCCTAATGTCCTTCAACTGGCTAATAGAGAAATACATACAATGGAATAACACTCAGTAGCATACAGGAATGACCTTCTGGTATACCCAACAACACAGATAACTCTCCAACACACTGATAAAAGTATACCTACTAGAATATAGGTATGAATATCAGAATATAGGCTAAATGAAAGAAGGTAAACGTAAAAGGCTACGTACTATATGACATTCTGAGAGAGGCAAAATCATAGGTACAGAAATCAGACCAGTGATTCCCACTTAGGGTCTTCAGGTGGTAGAAGAGTTGACTATAAAAGTGCCCAAGGTGGGCTTCTCTGGTAGCACAGTGGTTAAGAATCTGCCTGCCAGGGCTTCCCTGGTGGTGCAGTGGTTAAGAATCTGCCTGTCAATGCAGGGGACACAGGTTTGAGCCCTGGTCTGGGAAGAACCCACATGCCGTGGAGCAACTAAGCCTGTGAGCCACAACTACTGAGCCTGTGCTCTAGAGCCCGTGTGCCACAACTACTGAAGCCCGCATGCCTAGAGCCGGTGCTCTGCAACAAGAGAAGCCACCACAATGAGAAGCCTGTGCACCACAACAAGGACCCAATGCAGCTAAAAATAAATAAATTAATAAATAAAAATTTTTTAAAAAAAGAATCCACCTGCCAAATCAGGGGACACGGGTTCAAACTCTGGTCCAGGAAGATCCCACGTGCCACGGAGCGACTAAGCCGTGCACCACAACTACTGAGCCTGCACTCTAGAGCCCGCAAGCCACAACTACTGAAGCCTGTGCACCTAGAGCCCATGCTCTGTGACAAGAGAAGCCATGCAATGACAAGCCCATGCACTGCAAGGAAGAGTAGCCCCTGCTCGCCGCAACTAGAGAAAGCCTGCGTGCAGCAATGAAGACCCAATGCAGCACCCCCAAAACTAATTAATTTAAAAAAAAATTTTTTTTAAAGTGTCCAAGGCAATTTTTGGAAGTGAGGGAAATATTCTGTATCTTGATTGTGGTAATGCTTATATGGCTATCTATGTTTGTCAAAATGCAAAGTTGTACACTAAAATAAGTTAATCTTATTATACATAAATTATACCTCAATTTTTTTTAATGAGAAAAAAATGTCTTAAAAAAGATTCTGGGGACTTCCCTGGTGGCACAGTGGTTAAGAATCCGCCTGCCAATGCAGGGGACACAGGTCCGATCCCTGGTCCGGGAAGATCCCACATGCCGCGGAGCAACAAAGCCGATGCGCCACAAATACTGAGCCTGCGCTCTAGAGCCCACGAGCCACAACTACAGAAGCCCACGCGCCTAGAGCCTGAGCTCCGCAACAAGAGAAGCCACCGCAATGAGAAGCCTGTGCACCACAATGAGGAGTAGCCCCCGCTCGCCGCAACTAGAGAAAGCCCGTGCACAGCAATGAAGACCCAATGCAGCCAAAATTTTAAAAATTAAAAAAAAGAAAAGATTCCGCCATGATGCAGCATGGAAAAGAAAAGTTATTGTGTAACTAAAACAACACCTACCACTTGTCAAGCAATGGAATCAAAGGCAATAAAAACTGCCACATGTATCAGAATAAAGCACAGACTTTTCAAAGATAGGAAAAGTTGGTGTCACTAATTCACGTGCAACACATGATCAGCTGGGTACTGAACAATAGTTTTTTCAAAGCTTCCAGTTAACTTTCAGAAGAAGACTTTTAGCAACACTATTTTCTTATAGGACTTAAACCAGAGCTAAAAGTTTAACCTAAATGAAACGTAGATAAAACCCTGGTATACTTTAGTACTCCTCAGAATTATTCTGTCGATCCTAAAGGGGCTGAAGATGTCAAAATCGTGGGCACACACAAAATCAGCCAAGGATCGCAAAGACAGTTAATAGTTCTATCTCACTTATGACCATAAATGCAAAAAAAAATTCCAATAGAGTATTAGAAAATCAAAGCCAGCAAGGTGTTTACCAAAACTATACATGACCAAGTATTTATTCAAGAATTTATCTCAGGAATTCAAGGATGGCTCAACATTCAAATATCATGAGCACAGATTACCAAAAACAGCATTTTATCTTGAAGTCTTGTGTAATTCTGATAGACAAACACAATTCAGAAGGATCTGAATACTTTGATTGTGATAATGATAAAGAAAGTGAATATGAATAAAAGCATATTGAAATTTAGAAATTCTTCTAAAATTGTGTATATTAAAGGAAGTGTTTTTTCCCGTAAGAATCTAGAAAGTGATATGAATCTTACAGCCTATGGTAACTTGAAATCAAGAAAATATGGGAATGTTATCTCCTTTCACTATACAACTATTACCTTTTTTTTTCTCTTCAACTAGCCTGAGTTGGTTTCTGTTAATTTTGAAGAATCTTTCCTAATACACAAATCAAAGAAATAATTACATAGTGAAAAAGCAACCAAGATTGATTCTCAAATCTGGCTGACATTGGAAACACCTGGGGAGCTTTGTATAAACAGATTCCCTGACCACACCCAGGTCTAGGCTGGGGACTAGGAGGCATGGATTATTTTGCCAACAAGGCTCCCAAAGGAATTTTTGTTATTAGTGGGATCTGGAAGACTGCTATTAGGAGATAAAGGCTTTAGGCATGTCTTTCCCTTGAAGTTTTTTCTGTGTGGTTGTAGATATAAAAATTTTAGCATGAATAAAACTAAACAAGTAAACTTTCCATAATAATATATGACTTGTCACCATCAAACAAATTTTACAGGGACCAATTCAAGGTTCCTACGGAAGTTCAAATGAGGAGGGGAACTTGAAGCTCAGGAGGTCAAAGGCAGTCTCCATTTTGGGGCAGGTGCCTGACACGTATTAGGAACTTAATTCATTCCCTGAACAAATATTTAAGGATAGAAGAACTTGTCAGACAAAGAGGCAAGCGAAGAATATTCCTGGAGAGGATAAACTCATAAACGCAAAGAGATAGGAAACTGGGTTCAGGGACAATAAGTTAATGAGTCTTGTTGCCTTGGAGGTCAGATTACAGAGGCCCTTGCGCTTCAGGTTAAGGCTTTTCTGTGAGAAGCAGGGAGCCACTGAAGGTTTCTGAAGGTGGAGTGACACGGCCAGACTGGGCTTTAAGATTAACAAAGCAATCAAGTGTAACACGTATTTGTGCCACAGAGAAGCCAGTTTATGGTCCAAGTGTGAGCTAGCAAAGGTCTGGTCGTGAGCAATAGCAATATGAAAGTAAAACCCAGGGGTTCTCTCTGCCTGGGATAACCAGGGCAGGGGGTAACCACAAGAGGAGGGGCTGCGTGGCCGTGGCCATCTGCAACCAGCTGGTGCCCTAGGTGACTGCCCAATCACAACAAAAGCCTGAGAACTCCCTAAAACACTTCCGTTGAAACACCATGGGGTAAAATCAGTAGCAACTGCGTTAACTGTCTCATGCCCAGCATGAGGCCCTGCGATGAAGACAGAAGCTTCGGTAGTAATAAGAGGAAAGTTACGGGCACACTGAAACAGCCTACTGCCTCTTCTCGAACATATCCATTTCCACAAGGTTACCAACCAAGCGACTATGCTCTGTTGACACTAAAACAGAAATATGGACTGAGAACTGAACCTGGATAATAAGGAAGGGTAGAAACAGGTCCGTTTTAGGCACATTCTCTGAATAGGCTTAGTACTCCGCAGGAAAAGTGCATAATGTTTAGGAGAAAAATAGAACAGTTATGCCTAACCATGAGGTAGATGAGTGAAAAGTACCTTCTCTGGGAGCAGATGGGAGATGCCTTAGGATCTTTCTTGAACACTCCCACTCACTCACTAGCCAGGCCTTCAACCCAGCACCTGTGGCGTGTCAGGTACTAAGACTACTTACTGGTCTAAGAGTAAGGACACGGAGATGAACCATGGCCTTTGCCCTCAGGAACTCGAGGCCTAGTGGGCCACCACACCTTATAACTGCATCGCAATAAAAGTTACCAAGCATTTGTTTATCTGCCCACGGCCTCCTCAGGCAAGCAGAGAAGGGGTCCACGTGTTCATGGGATCTCTGAACCCCTAACTCCAGGCTGGGCTCCATTTATATATGCCCTTGCAGAGATCTGGACAGTGCTGGAGCTGACTCCAAACCACGGCCTCTTCCTGGTTTGTCACACAGCCTCAGGAGACATTCTACCTAGTCCAGCCCTAAAAAAGGAGAAGAGCATTCCTGCCAGGGTCAGTGCAGATGGCCAGAGCCTCCAACTGTTCATAGGGTGAAAATGCCTGTGAAAGATGGTACATTCCAGAGTCAAGGCAGACCCAGAAGACAGTGTCAGCCACAGGTGTCGAGTCTAGCTATCAGGTGGGATGCGGGCTAGGATTTCAGGGACGGGTGGAAGCTGTGTGGGCAGATATAAGGCATGCAGGGGCCCTGGCAGCAGAGAGATGGCAGTGATCACAGAGTCAGACCAGATAAGGACCACTCACCTCTGCTCCTCAGGGCACCCTCAGACTGAAGAGGCCAGCCTTCAAGGACTTCGGAGAACCTGGTGGGACAGATGATAGAACTGACATGCATCCATTTCTCTGGCCGAGGTCAGGCCTTCCCACCCCATCACCATCCCCCACCAGGGTGGAGTGATAATAGCTCTGGCTGTTTCCGGTTCTGCCACCAACGCCTTGGCCTCTTAGACGAGGGCGTCCACCTCACAATAATGCAGGTGTCAGGTGGACTGACAGAAATGAAACATGAGGAAAGAACACAGAGCCCCGGGAACCCAAAAGTCTTCATGGGATGGGCTTTCACTCTGGCTACAGATTTGCCTCACATAATTTTTGATCCAGTATAAAGTGAAAACAAAATTGTTCCAGGAATATTCTGGGCAGCAGAGGGAAAACACCCCCAAAATAAATCTCAGGACAAGCTGTCCTGCATGGTTGAGAGCTCACCACAGGGTCAAAGGTTCTTCACCAGGTTCTAACAAAGGAGGAGCTGAGAGCATCTGGACACTGGAACCAAGTGTTCCCACCTTCTTCTCTTCGGGCCTGTACCCACCCTCCCTCTTCCTCATCTTCGAGGCCTTTCCTTATCTCGCCAGCCTCTGAAATTCCCCCAAATGAGTCTGTGCCACAGAACTTATCCCTGTTTTCTAATTATATACTTCATACATGTTAGCTGTCTCCCCACAAAAACCCAAAGTCTCTTGGGCATACTAACTTCCTTTTATAATCCTCCACAGGGCTAGGTGGAGAGGAGGTCTGTAATTCATGTTTGTTGGCCGATGTACAGGTCATTCCACAGACCTAGCGAACACTACTCAATATGTAGAATAACGGGCATTCCTTCTTTTGTGCCTCCTTATATCCACATATTCATTTCATTTTTATGACCACCTTCATTGTCAGAAGAAGAAACTGCAGTCAGCCCACAGAGGTTGAATACCATACCCAGGAACATCCAGCCAGTAAGTGAACAGGATGGCTCTGAACCCAAGTTTAACTCCAAAGATCACATTCTACTCTCACGCTGCCTGTCCTGCCAGAAATCTGAAGGAGAGCTACTCTGTACCAGAAATATCAATCTCTGAAAACAAAAAACATAAACAGCATCCTCAACGACGGAAGCTCAACAGTGTAGCTATTTGGTTCCTGAAAGATTATGAGAACTAACTCATAAGGTCCCGCGTTAACAAATCAGCATCCATCCGATCTGGGGGCCCAGGGGTCTGGGGTGGGGGGAGGAGGGCGGAATCAAGCAGCAGATCCGAAAGAAAAGGAAATCCTCTCCTCATCCCGTTTCTTTTGTCTCCAGACGGCCCAAGAGAAGAGGGGAGGGGAGAAAGGGGGACAGAAGTACCAACAATGGGGGGAGGGGACAACAGTGGGATATTCAAGAAGCCAGATCTATACATAAATTGCCACAGCTCCCTTGTAGGGTGTCCATTGTACGCATTCACCCTCAGATAAAAGGGACAGTGAGCAGCGGAACAATGTGAGCCTCTGGAAATCCAGCCTTATCCCCACAAGCTACAAACAGGGAGCAATTCTTACTGGCTCGCCTCCATTTCACAAGGGCTGCAGCCCTGACAACAGGTGCATCCAACAGGGCAGGAGGGACGCATCTGCTGACCTGTAGTGACAAATACTGAGGTCCACCCACCTTGAGAGTGTAAGAACTGCATTTGCTCAACCTGTTGGCTTAAAACAAATGGAAAAGTATGAAGCCAAAACTCAATAAAGAGACAAGGGCATTCATCTGCGGAACTGCACAGGTGGGAGAGGCTCACACGGCAGACCCTGGCCCAGCACACTCACCTTTCAGTGCTTGTGGAGCAGGGGGCTAAGGGAGCAGAAGGGAGGAGGCAGATGTCACGTGGCACAGGATCCTGTCCTAGTGACTCTTCTGCGCTGCTCTCACTCTGGACTCCCAGCCCCATGCCACCCAAGTGTCCACATGCAAACAGTCCTACCTCGTGTCCTCTGGGTGCACTCTCTGCAGGTCAGAGGAGAATGACAAATAGTCAAGCTGGGAGAGGACAACGTCTTCTGTTGGGAAAGGTTACTTTCTAAGGGTTGTACTCTAAATTTCCCTACATTTACAGAAAGGATAGGACAGGAAGCTTTTAAGAATGAACAATTTCCCAATCAGAGTGTGTTGGTTTGAACTGGGGGAAGGGCAGTTAGGCTTCCAAGCGGCCCTGGTGTATATTTCCAGAATACGAAGAAGTGTTCTCAGAAAGATACTAAAAGTCCACATGTTCATGGGATCTCTGCACCCCTACCTCCAGGCTGGGCTGCATTCTCAAACTGTCACCTCTTGAACCTCTTAAAAAGCAAAGCGCCAATAAATCAACTGTTTCACAGACTCAGACTCATATCTTGGGGGGGAAGCAAGGGGTCATTCTTGTAGACACTGAGTACACGGTGACCCCAGAGCATTCACAGTCTATTTCTCTGAGGCTGGGGCAGAACTCCCCAGCTACGATCAAAACCCCTCCTCCACTTGTGGCACTGCAAGGGCCCCTCAACCCCAGCACCATCTGGGGCCAGCCTCCTTTTCTGACAAGCCTTCCCAGCAGACTCCCCTGCAGCTGCCAGCCAGAGGCCCCTGCCCTATAGTGACTACACCTGTCTGTCTAAGGTCCAGGCTGCAGGTGAGTCCACCTAAGCTTACCAGTTAGACCAGGAACTTCCCCAGGGCCTAGTCTGCTCTGTACATGTCCCCCAAGATCTAACCCCTGAGGAAAGTCTCCTGATAAGAGGATCAGCAAACCTCATATAAAGAAAATACTCCAAGGCCCCAGCTACCCCCTCCTCAGTTATTTAGTTACTGCACAAAAGAAACCAAACACACAGATCCTTTGCCACTGTGGGGCAGTTTTCCGAGCTCATGCCTAGTAGTGCACGAGGACCAGCATTTTTTTGTATCATGAGTGAAGGGACAGAGAGGCACATCTTGGTGAAAAGGCTCTTGTCCCCAGAGTACCCACTACCCCATCTAGTAGCCAGCGTCCAGCCACTCCCCACCCAGGGCCAAGTGCCCAGGCTCCTCCCTGCTCTGGATGAAGGCTACTGGCCCACCTAGGATGGGAGACAAAGGGCCAACCTCACTCTGGGCATGAAGAAAGAACATTCCATACCAGCCTGGGGCACTATGGTGCCAGCAGCCTCACCTTCTACATCCCTGCAGTACGCAGGGCAGGGAAAGAGACTACGACAGAGGATCACCGAAGAGAGAAGGGAAGGGGGTCAGGAATTTAAAAGTAAAGAGATGGAGGGGAAGAGGGAAATAAAGTGAAAAAAACAAAAAATATTTTACTAGAACCTGAAATGCCTTTTAGGCACCCAGAAGCACCTACACTTCCCCCAGAGACTTGCATTGTGGATCCCTGATGCTTTGAAGTGTGAGGGGTTCCCTAAACGGTTCTCTCAAGCCCCTCATTTGCAAATAACTCATTGACAAGTTGTGCATTTTGACAAAAGATTGCACTAAAGCAGGGAAGAACCTACAGCCCCAGCTGGAAGGGGGATGCAACACTAGGCAGGCTCCCGAGGTCTTGGGGGATGCGGGGGCGGATTGCACATACTCTGCTCTTTGCACTTGGAGAGAGGAGGGACGGTAAAACCAGCGGCCTGAGGCCTGGCACTGTTCCCACCGCCCGGGTGTTCCCCCACCAGGGCCCAGCTCCTTCAATTGCAAGGGCTATTTTTACCCCTTCTAGGACTCAAAGAAGCTGGGCCTTTCTCCCTCAGGTTACTATATAGAGGATGTGCCCTCCCAACAACAACGAGATGCTCTCCCCATCAGCCCGTCTTCACATCTGCAATACCACTCCTAGAAATTCAGCCCTTTGGGTCTTGAAGATTGTAAGTAGCCACAAGTCCCAGGGGGGAGCTCTGCCTTAACCATAGAGAGCTAACACCTGGGAATTAGTTTAGCCTAAACTTTCCAACCGCAATGATCTGCGAACAAGGGTCCTTCAACCATGAAACTCCGGTCGAAGACAAGGAGGCACAGCAGGCGAGGGGCTTCAGTGAGGAGCAGGGAGGGAGAGCAAGACTGTGACGCCCGACGCCCCAGTTTTGCCTAGGACGCCGGGGCTGCCGCCACTGCCCTATCTTCCCTGACTCGCGTTTAGGCTAGAAGGACTTTCACGTGGCACCTTCGCCCCCGCAGCTGGGAGAAGAGCCCACCTCTCTTCCTTGAAGGCTAGCGGCTATTTGCAGCCCTCAAATCAAAAGCGCCCCCTTCGGATGACGCCTATAGAGACAACGGCATAACTGTCCCCAAGCACCTCACCTTTCAAAAGAAAACCGTGCTGCCTGGAAACTCTGGGGTCGCCGCCTTACGCGCCACACCCCGCCCCAACTCCTCGCCGCACGTAGGAACCCCTCTCGAACAGTGGAGCCAGGGGCAGGCTCCCGAGGGAGGGTCCCGACCCCGGGACCCCCGCCCTCGAGGAATGACTCCCAGGGACCGCGCCGGGACAAAAGCGTGGGGCGGGCTCACTCACCCGCGCGGCGAAAGCGGCCCGGGAGCCGAGGCACGGCGCTCGGCGGGGGCGTCCCGGCCACCGGCGCGCAGCGCAGGTTCAGCGCTCAATCCGCCGCCGGCTGCGGACTGGGCGGCGCTGGGAGCCCGCGCGGCCAGTCCCGCACGGGACGGGGCGGGGCGAGGGTGAATAGCCGGCGAGAAAGCGAGCAAGTGGGAGAGCAAACGCGAGTGTGCTAGCGACTGAGAGCACGGCGCTCCGAGTCCAGACCCAAAAGGCCGCCTCTGGCTCACACGCGCTGATTTGCATGTCATTTGCATAGCGCTCTGGGAATGGACCTGCGGTCCTTCCGCCACGCCTACCCGCCCTCCTCCCACTGGTCGGGAAAGGAGAATCCGGAGCGGAACCGAGCGCTGGACGTCGGTTCACCTCGCCCTTCCCCCGCCCCGCCCCAACTCCTCCTTGCACACCGGACTGGTGGCCTTCAGGGTGTTTTCTCATGTTTTCCCGTGGAAGACCACTTGATACACAAAAGAAGAACACACTGGAAAAACTCTGTAGACTTTAAAATTAATTTTTTCTTTGATATGGCTATCAAAAACAACAACGAATCAAGTAGATTCCCCCAAATGAATGCAATTTTGGTTTTTGGACAAAGTATCGCGAAAAACTTGCTCATTTTCAAAATTGGACACAAGGTGCAATTTTGTTCTGCCTAGATAACACAGTCCTTAAAAAGGCGGGTTCTGGGGCTTCCCTGGTGGTGCAGTGGTTGAGAGTCCGCCTGCCGATGGAGGGGAGACGGGTTCGTGCCCGGTCCGGGAAGATCCCACATGCCGCGGAGCGGCTAGGCCCGTGAGCCATGGCAGCTGAGCCTGCGCACCCGGAGCCTGTGCTCCGCAACGGGAGAGGCCACAGCAGTGAGAGGCCCGCGTACCGCAAAAAAAAAAAAGGCGGGTTCTGGAGTTGAGAACCCTACCGCTTACTTTACAGCTGCAAAGTTTGGGGCAAGTTACTAATCTCTGTTACTCTGTCTTCTTATCTCTAAAATGGGACAATCTGCCTCATAGGAATGTAAAGGCTTCACTGAGATAAGCCAGTGAGTGCTTAGGATAGCGCCTAACAGTTACTTTTAAACGTGCGAGTATGATCTATATCTACTTAATGGAGAGGCAATCAGACCAAGGCGAGGCAAAAAAGAGGAAGGTAGAGGTGAAGGAAGAGGCTATAGATGGCAAAGAGAGAACGGCCTAAGATTAGAGACAGTCTCTCAAAGGTTCAGGCCAGGGTTCCCCCACCCAATTCTGCTGTTAGGCTAACCAGACCCAGCTCTGAGAAAGCATTTCTATATCTTATTTCCCCTCAGAAGATCCAGCTGTGAATGCAATTTGAAACGTTATCATGGGATGTTCTGGATAAATATTAAAAATGTTCAACTCAGCTACTTCTTAAAAAAAAAAATTGAATCTAAAGGAAGCAAAGTCTGTTCTGTGGTGGAGAGTCCCAGATTGGGAGACCTGAGTGTTAGACCTGGTTCTGGCACTAGCTTCGTGGAGCTTGTGGGAGTCACCATCTCTGGCCCTCAGTTTTCTAATCTGGAAAATGAGGAAGCTCCTTGGGATGTTTTTTGTTTTTTTGTTTTTTTCAGGCATCTTCCAGCTCTGAAACTTTAGCCCCAGGGTTCCTCTGATATTTTCCTTTGTTGTGTGTTAAGAATCCTTCATTGGTTTGGAGGATAACTATACAGCCTTTTCAAAATTAATATTTTTCCTCTTGCCTAATATTTAGTTTGCATCTGATATGAAATATTTTGTAGAGCTTCCTGATCTCTTCATTTGGACCCTTTCCTTCCCCCCCCCCAAACTGTTTATTCCAGGTAAAGGAGTACTTATTATGCTTTTTATAGTAAAATAAAACACAAGTACAGAAAAACCACACAAAACAAGTATATAGATTATATAGACTGGTGAATTTTTATGAGGCAAACATCCTTGTAGTCACCACCCAAGTCAGCAAATAGACCTCTGCCAGCCACCCCAGAAGCCTCTCCATGTGCCCCATCCCTATCCCTATCACTTTTGCTAGTTTCTTTACATAATTATCTCCCAAGTTGCATCTTGCCCATTTTTTTTTTTAACTTGATGTGCCTTTTAAGCCTTTTGTTACAATTTATCTGTTGAAGGACAGTAGGCCTTTTGACCTGTGGAGTTTCCCACAGTCTGGGAACTGTACTTTTTATTTTTATTTTTATTTTTTTTTTGCGGTACGCGGGCCTCTCACTGCTGTGGCCTCTCCCGTTGCGGAGCACAGGCTCCGGACGCGCAGACTCAGCGGCCATGGCTCATGGGCCCAGCCGCTCCACGGCATGTGGGATCTTCCTGGACCGGGGCACGAGCCCGAGTCTCCTGCATTGGCAGGCGGACTCTCAACCACTGCGCCACCAGGGAAGCCCTGAGAACTGTATTTTAATAGGGTACTTCAGCATATTCCTCTGTCCTCTGCATTTCTTGCAAACTGGCAACTGCCCCAGAGGTTTCACCAGTCTGAGGTTCCATCTGTCTGGCAAAACTGCAGATGGTGGTGTGTTCTTTCATCAGGAGGTTGGTAATGTCTGGTTTTGCTCTTTTTCTTTTGAGGCTAGCAGGTGTTCATGCTGAATTCCGAGAACCCTGAATTAAGTCATTGAGGGTTGCAAAATGGTGATATTTTAATTCTATAATTTTGTTTTTATTTTTTAGCTGAATAAGTTTATAAGGAGATGTTTCCTCTCATCCAGTATTTTGTTACCATGAGATAAGTTCTTAAGAGAAAATTTGGGTAAATACTTGCTTTTTTCTTTTAATTTACCAGTTTCCAAGATAATGAATTGGTTCTCTGTCATCCTCAAAAGGTGACTTAATTAGGTTTCTTAGTGTCATTATAATTCATGGATTTACATCTAGTTGATGTGTTTCAATCTACTGTAATTCTAATCTTTATTAAAGCTCAAACTGTCCAATCTTTGGCCAGTAGGTATCTTCCTTTCTACCTAGTATGACAAGATGTTCCAGGCTCATTTTGTACATTTGCTGCTCCAGACCTGGAATCAGCCATTTCTCCAAAAGAAGCACTAATTACCTTTATTTATTGATACCTTTATTGATATGGACACTAGGGGGTGTTCATTGCTACTAGGTTGGTAACTGTTTCTAGGTCTTTTCAATAGGTAAAATTGGGATAGAATACTTCATGAGTTCATGTTACTATTTCTAATTCAATTTCAGGACTACAGTGTTTTCAATTAACCCCTTCTAAATTACATCAGGATCTCAGAAGAAATTCCACATGGAGAATTCCAGTTCTCAAGAATTTACGGATCCACCAGAGGGCAGACAGCAGAAGCAAGAAGAACTACAATCCTGCAGCCTGTGGAACAAAAACCACATTCACAGAAAGATAGACATGGTGAAAAGGCAGAAGGCTATGTACCAGATGAAGGAACAAGATAAAACCCCAGAAAAACAACTAAATGAAGTGGAGATAGGCAACCTTCCAGAAAAAGAATTCAGAATAATGATAGTGAAGATGATCCAGGGCCTCAGAAAAAGAATGGAGGCAAAGATAAAGAAGATGCAAGAAATGTTTAACAAAGACCTAGAAGAATTAAAGAACAAACAAACAGAGATGAACAATACAATAACTGAAATGAAAACTACACTAGAAGGAATCAATTGTAGAATAACTGAGGCAGAAGAACGGATAAGTGACCTGGAAGACAGAATGGTGGAATTCACTGCTGCAGAACAGAATAGAGAAAAAAGAATGAAAAGAAATGAAAACAGCCTAAGAAACCTCTGGGACAACATTAAACGCAACAACATTCTCATGATAGGGGTCCCAGAAGGAGAAAAGAGAGAGAAAGGACCCGAGAAAATATTTGAAGGGATTATAGTTGAAAACTTCCCTAACATGGGAAAGGAAATAGCCAGCCAAGTCCAGGAAGCACAGAGAGTCCCATACAGGAGAAACCCAAGGAGAAACATGCCGAGACACACAGTAATCAAATTGGCAAAAATGAAAGGCAAAGAAAAATTATTGAAAGCAGTAAGGGAAAAACAACAAATAACATACAAGGGAACTCCCATAAGGTTAACAGCTGATTTCTCAGCAGAAACTCTACAAACCAGAAAGGAGTGGCATGATATACTTAAAGTGATGAAAGGGAAGAACCTACAACCAAGATTACTCTACCTGGCAAGGATCTCATTCAGATTCGATGGAGAAATCAAAAGATTTACAGATAAGCAAAAGCTAAGAGAATTCAGCACCACCAAACCAGCTCTACAACAAATGCTAAAGGAACTTCTCTAAGTGAGAAACACAAGAGAAGAAAAGGACCTACAAAAACAAACCCAAATCAATTACCAAGAAAATGGTAATAGGAACATACATATCGATAATTACCTTAAATGTGAATGGATTAAATGCTCCAACCAAAAGACACAGGCTCACTGAATGGATACAAAAACAAGACCCGTATATATGCTGTCTACAAGAGACCCACTTAGGACCTAGGGACACATACAGACTGAAAGTGAGGGGATGGAAAAAGATATTCCATGCCAATGGAAATCAAAAGAAAGCTGGAGTAGCAATACTCATATCAGATAAAATAGACTTTAAAATAAAGAATGTTACAAGAGACAAGGAAGGACACTACATAATGATCAAGGGATCAATCCCAGAAGAAGATATGACAATTATAAATATATATGCTCCCAACATAGGAGCACCTCAATACATAAGGCAACTGCTAACAGCTATAAAAGAGGAAATCAACAGTAACACAATAATAGTGGGGGACTTTAACACCTCACTTACACCAATGGACAGATCATCCAAACAGAAAATTAATAAGGAAACACAAGCTTTAAATGACACAACAGACCAGATAGATTTAATTGATATTTATAGGACATTCCATCCAAAAACAGCAGATTACACTTTCTTCTCAAGTGCACATGGAACATTCTCCAGGATAGATCACATCTTGGGTCACAGATCAAGCCTCGGTAAATTTAATAAAATTGAAATCATATCAAGCATCTTTTCTGACCACAAGGCTATGAGATTAGAAATCAATTATGTGGAAAATCCATAAAAACACAAACACATGGAGACTATACAATATGTTGCTAAATAACCAAGAGATCACTGAAGAAATCAAAGAGGAAATAAAAAAATACC